TATTTATTACTTCGACACTCTTGCACTTGGGAGAAGACATCAATCTTTTGGTCATGTCAACTGTTATTTCTTATTCTTAAGCATCTGTCATTTTCGAATGCATCTCTTTAAATAACCTCAAACATGAGTTCAATCAACTTTTTTTAAAAACACATATCACTAAGATGAGTTAAAGCAACACTTTTTTTTAAAAAAAAACACGTATCACCAAGTATATATTTTCCAGTAAATCAAAACAATACCCCAATCTCAAGCTATCATACAAACAAATAATAAGCATTGATTAATTGAACTTAAGCTCCTTCTACAACAACAAAGATATTTAAAAAAATTTAGTAGAAAATAGCTTGAAAGAAAGAACAAAACAACTAAGAACTAGAGCACTGTCTAATAAAAAAAGGCATGAAAATACCTTGTTAACATTTCTTGAAAGTGGATAGCAAAATCAATAGCCTACACGATTAAATATTCTGAGAAGATTTACAAAAGATAAAGCAACTTGTAAAACAAACATTTTCAGATGCATAAATCCACTAATCAGCCAAATTAGCATAAAAAATCCAAATGGAAAAAACCACAAACAAATTGTTTTTCTCATATCTCAAGCACTAATTAACTTTAAATGTCTCATCTCAAATAATATTTTTTTTTAACAAGGAACAAAACAATGTGTACTTTAGCAATTATACTAACAAAAAGAAAAGGCACCAAACAATGCTACAAATAATCGTTCAATAAAAGCAAAAAAATCAAAGACAACTAAAATGAGCTAAATCTGAAAAAATAGTAAATGACAATGGACAAATTTGGCTTCACATGAAGGTAAAAAGTTGAAAATAAGTATTGAGATGTCTAAACAACCCTTTCTGTACCAAGTTAAAAACATGTAACCCAAATTGATTTGAAACTAAAGTTGAGGAAAAGCAGAGAATGATATTAAAAAATTGACCTTTATCCTAGCAAAATACTGGGAAAAAATTAGAAGTCAGTACACCCAAACCTAGACCACCGTGAAAAATAAATCCCACATATAATATCAAAAAATGCCCCCGTAATTTAGAAAAAACCATGCTTCTAGCCCAAAATAACACAAAACCATAAGTTAATTAAATAGTGCAAACATGAAGTAACCTAAAGCTTTGTGTGAGCATAGTGCAGAAAAGAAATGTTATTAGATAATGTGTATATTATGCTAATCATGTTGCAAAGGAATGAGATAACACAATACAACTCACACTTTACCTAGTAAACTGAAAAAATAGAAAACACGAAACCTATTCAAAGGCATACAAATAAAATGACAGGAAAAGAAAGAAAAATACAAGCAAAACTGTAGAGGCAAATAAAAACAATAACGGGAACAATAGTTAATGAAATGAAAAACAACAGTGCCATATGATAGCCCTTCCCAATTAAAAAGACCACATGGGTTAGAGCAAAAAAATCTTAGCTACAAAAAGCATGGACCTAAAATCTTTTAAAAAAATTACATGGATAATGTAATATTTAAATAATGATGGGTTTCAGTATAGCGTTGGTGTTTTTATATAATGATGGGTTACATTAATTTTGTATGGAGAAAGTAATATTTAAATCACAAATATGTGTTTATTTGGGATATGTGGTTTTACAGCCTATAAAGCACAATCTTTTGTTCTTGAAAGTGGATGATCATGACATGCACTTGTTTTTTACCTTTATTTTAATATATTTTTAATACTTCAATATATTTCTAATAATTCAAAAAAATGAATTAATTTGTAAAAAAAAAACATAAAATGAAAAAGAAAAATACAACAAAAAGTTGTAGGCAAAAAAGAGATCATGTTTGAAAATAATAGTGCACCTGTAACTTGAGTGACGCAAGATAAAGGTGGTGTTTCAGCTCTTTACTACCTAGAGATAATTCAACACTAATTGAAATAATATGCCTGCAATAAATGGTCAAAAATAGAAAGTCACCAAGCAAATTTGAACTTGAGAGATAGATAATAACAACAATAAAAAAAGACATGCGATTATGAAAATTGAAAGCAAATAATTATGAAAAATGTGTTCATTCGGCTACAAAAATAATAGTTGTTACAATGAAAAGAAGCAAATACAATAATAAAGAAAGTGAGTGGAATTTGTTACAATAAATATAGGTGATACTAAATGAACAATTTTTTTCTCACCAAAATCTTGTTGAAAACCAATTCAGCCACTAATTAGATGTAATCCAATTCAAAGCGATAATCCAACCACCAATTACATGCAACTGAAATTAATTAAAGTCATCGCAATTAATAGTATAATTTCAGAAAAAAAAATTTCTTTATGCAAGTTTTGTTGAAAAAAAAAGTAGCTAGCAATTAAATGTAATTGAATTGAAAGGTCTTGATATGAGCAATGCATATTCATGAAGAGAAAATAGAACCCAATAAAAAAAATAATGGTTAAGCATAAATTTGTAAACCATTTCAGACATAAATCATATATACTGAAATTTAAAGTGATAATTTAATTGCTAATTATATATAATTTAATTCATAAGCCAAGGAAAAATAAAACAACATGTCTTCTTAATTCAACATGCAACACCTTAAGTTACCATGTTAAACCTATAAACAACTTAATTCTTTGTTCTCATGTATAGAAGTAATAACCTTGATTGTCTTAATTATTTTATTAGTTATCCCAGCAATTAACACCCAAATGGAAAAATCTTCAACATATTGTTATTTTTTATTCTTAAACATCTTTTATTTTGGAATGTATCTCTTTAAATAACTTCTAATATGAGTTCAATTACTTTTTTTTAAACACATATCACTAAGTATAAGTTCAAACAACATCTTTTTTAAAAAACACATATCATCAAGCATATATTTTCCAGCAAAGTAAAACAACACCCTAAACTCAAGCTATCATGCAAACAAAGAATAAGCATTGATTAATTCAACTTAAGCTCCTTCTACAACAACAAAAATATTTAAACAAATTTAATAGAAAATAGCTTGAAAGAAAGAACGAAACAACTATGAACCAGAACATTATTTAATAAAAAAAAGAAAATGAAAATACCCTGTTAAACATTCCTTGAAAATGGATAGCAAAACCAATAGCCTACACGATTAAAGATTCTAAAAAGGTCTACAGAAGATAAGGCAACCTATAAAAAAAATATTTTTAGATGCATAAATCCACTTATTAGCCAAATTAACACCTAAAATCCAAACGTAAAAAGCAACAAACAAACTGTTTTTCCCATATCTCAAGCACCAATCAACCTAAAATGTCTCATCTTAAATAACAATTTTTTTTATAAGGAACAAAACAAAATGAACTTTACCTACAAGACTAATAACACAAAAGGCAACAAAAAAGATAGTTCAATAAAAATAAAAAAATTAAAGACAACTAAGAGGAGCTAAATCTTAAAAATACAGTAAAAAAACGATGAACAAATCTAACTTTCACATGAAAGGAAAAGGTTGGAAATAAATAATAAGATGTCTAAACAAACCTCTCCATACCAAGTTTATAACTTGCAATCCAAATTGATTTGAAACTAAAGGCGAGGAAAAACAGAGAATGATTTTAAAAAACTAACCTTTGTCTTAGCAGAACACCAAGAAAAAGTTAGGAGCCAGTGCACCCAAAAGCAAAGCTTAAAGCATTATATATCTTAGCAGGAAAAAAAAGGAAAATACATGCCTACCAACATGGGTGATACCAAATGAATAATTTTTTTCCCCACCAAAATCTTGCTATAAACCAATTCAAGTACTAATTATATGCAATCCACTTTAAAGCGACAATTCAACCACTAATTACATGCAACATAAATTAATTAAAGTCATGAAAATTAACACCATAATTTCAAAAACAGAATATTCTTTATTGGATGTCACAAAACAAAAGTGATTGCTATGACCGGATATGAAATAGTGTTCTTAAAAAATATTCCAACAAGACAACCCATCACCTACCGAAGTCAAAACTAAACAACAAATCAGCCCTTTCACTCTGTCTCTACATTTCCTGCTCAAGAAAAAAAATGTACATCACATTGGCAGCAATATGCCACCCTTAACGTGCATTAAGTGTGTGTTTGGTATTGCGGTTGCTATTGTAGTTGTGGTTTAAAAAAAATTGTTTTATAAAAAGTACTTTTAGTTGAGGTTGGTTTGAAAAAATATATATTTGGTTAAAACTATAGTTGAAATTGAGGTTGAGCAAAAAGAAGTTTAATGTGTTTGGTTAATAATGCTTTTAAAATTGAGGTTATAAAATAATTTTAAAAAATTATTATTAATATTGGTGGTTTTTAATTTAAATAGTATATATTTAACTATTGTTATTACATTATGAAATAAATAATACTTTATATAAAATATTTTTATTATTCCATTAAACTATCTACAATTCCATCATGTATGAAATATATTCGACAAGGACTATAGATTTTTTTTGTTTCTTAAGTACGCAACAACATCAAGTAAAATATAATCAGGAAAAAAATTAGAATTGCGATTAAATTCTACAAATGTTATGTCATCAAGCGATCTCTGTCATTGAATAATGTTAAACATTAGTTTTTTGAATAAAACACAATTAAAAAATAAAAAATAATTTTTATTTTTTATTTTACTTGGTCAGACTTGGTTCAATGTATTTTGAACTTGGGACTCGTCCAACAGAAACCGGTTCGACCGGAATAATGTAGCTGGCTACACTATTCACGTGAACAATGTATCATGCTACACTGCTCCTTTTAACCATAATAAAAAATGTTACAAGAGTGGTCTTTCGTTTCTTTTCTAAACAAATACGAGAACCTAATGGATTAATTAGCAAGAATAGTGGATAGTCATGCTCCACTGTTCATGCTAATTAATTAGCATAATGTGCGTAGGAAGTAACATTCGTTTGCTTTTCTTTCCCCTACATTTTGAACACAAAAATAGTGTGGGACCTATAAATAGTAAGTTGCTTTTTTTCTTTACCGTAATGTGCGTAGGAAGTAGCATTCGTTTGCTTTTCTTTCCCCTACGTTTTGAACACAAAAATAGTATGGGACCCATAAATAGTAAGTTGCTTTTTTTCTTTACCAAACGGGTTACATCTGCGTTTTATTTAAAACACAGACGCAACCTTGTTACCAAATACCCTCTAAATGCTTGTCAGCTGAAACAATTTAAAACCAAACTCCTTTTCTCTTTTCATCAACATGCTAAACCAACCTACTCTCAACCACCTCAACTGAGACATCCAAATGCATATCAACACCTTAATTCTTGAAAAAAAAATACCAACATAGAGAAATGCAAGCAGATAAGTCATGTATAAATAATAACTACAAAAAGCCTTTTAATCCATGTCAAGCCACCTAAAAAATAAAGTTTCACTATCAAGTGACATTTTGTAAAAAGCAAACAAAAAATTAAATTAATTTTAAAAAAACCAAAATTGGTTAGTGAATCGCTGTAATAATAAACAAAATCTGATCAAATTACTAATCACAAATAAACTCACCTACTCTCTCAATCAAATTTAACCAAGCAGGCATTGCATTTAATGTAGCATAATGAGTACACATACAATCCAGAAGAAAGGACTCCTAAAATCAAGCTAGATTTTCCGGGTTGGTGGCCACGCTTTTGTTCTCTAAAGCAAAAAAAAAAAGACACCAATGAACAACACATAAAAATAATAGAAGAAATTCAACAAACCATGTTATGAAATAGAACAAACTTCCCATGAGAAACACGACTTGAAATTACAGTGAATCAACTCAAAATGCATAGTGTTTTTCTTAAAACCAAGACGATGTTCCTCCTAGATAGAGCCACCAGCTAGCTTAGCCTTAAAGCCACATATAAGCCCATAGAAGCACACACAACTAAGAACTAACAGTTTAAAAACTCTCATCTCACACTGACAAACCAACAGGAAATAAATCTCCATGAATTCCAACTTCACACGAGAAAACCACACAAAAGCAGACCTTTAAGTGATAAGAATTGCTCCAGTTCACAGTGATTACACTTAGTGGCTATAATGTTTTCTTAAGCCATTTCAATATTTTTAATTTTAAATGAGATGGATCTGGAATTGTGAATGTGTGCTTTGGTTTGTTTGTAAGGCATTCTTTGATGCATTTGTGCCAGAAAAAAGAAAGAGATGAGAAAGTTGTAACCTGCCAAAAAAAAAATATAAAGAGATATGACAGGGATGCTGCCACATACCCAACAAAACAAATAAAAAAATAGTGAAAGAAAACTGGTCAAAACTTATCGCAAGAATGAATTGTAAATGTAAATAATGCAATCTACAGTGATTTTAGACACAATTTATAGTGATTTATTGATCTTTTTTATTGTTTTTTAATAACCTGGAAAGTCTAGGTAAATACTAGAAAGTCTTATCGGCTTCAAACATTTAAGCCAACTTTACAATATAGGTTTTTAGTTGGTGTGAACCTTATATCTAAACATGAAT